TCCCAGCTGACCAATTGTGGTTACCTGTTTGGGTTTTATCCTTGTTTTCCTTTATGTTATTCTTTGGTCTTGTCATTTGTGACGTTATGATTTCTTTGGTGCTGTACAAGTAGTCCTTGACTAAAGATGTAATACCATGTAAATAATATGTATATATGTATGAATACCACGGAACCGAAAAATGTTGAATTGTATTATTACATATTACAATAAAAGCCAATTAAAAAAAAACAAGTAGTCCTTGACTTTTGACCACAATTGGAAATGGAATTTCCATCGTAGGTCAGTGCGGTCATAAAGTGTGGTCACCATTCACTGCACCCATTGTTAAATGCAAACTGGTTACCACGTCCCTGAATTGCAATCACATGCAATCACAATGGTCATAATTTCGAGGGTGGGTCATAAATAACTTTTTCTGAGCATGTCATAACTTTGAACCAGGGGTGAAATGCTCCCAGTTCGGACCGGATCATCTGATCTGGTAGCGATGGCGGCGGGTGGTTTGGAGAACCAGTAGCAAAAATCCCTGGCCCCCCCATGCCCAGCTGAACCGCGCAATCATCAGAGGCATTTTTTTTAAAATTTTAAAAAGCATTTTTTCTACAACCTCTTTGGCCGAAAAAATGCTTTTAAAAGTTAAAAAAAAAAAGCCTCTGATCACGCGGCTCAGCTGGGATTGTCAGAGGCTTTTAAAAGAAAAAAAAAGCCGCTGCCGATCAGTCAATTCAGCTGGAATCATCAGAGGCTTTTAAAAGCATTTTTTTTACAACCTCTTTGGCTGAAGAGGTTGTAGAAAAAAATGCCTTTAAAAGCCTCTGACGATCCCAGCTGAGTTGCCTGATTGGCAGAGCCTTTTAAAAGAATTTTTTAACAACCTCTTCGGCTGAAGAGGTTGTAGAAAAAATGGTTTTAAAAGTAAAAAAAAAAAAAAGTTGGCCACGCCCACCCAGTCACATTACCCCCCACCAAGCCACGCCCACAGAACCGGTAGTAACAAATTTTACATTTCACCATTGCTTTGAACCATAACTTTCATTTAATGATCATTCGAAGTTACAATGTCATTGAAAAAATGACATTGTAACGACTGTTACGGCATCCTCATCACATGATCAAAATTCAGGCATTTGTCAACTGACTCATATTTGCCAATGAAGATACGGAAAACAAATTCTATAGATAAGATAGTGGAAAGTCTCTAATGTTTAAGCATTGGAGGGAAGTTGTTCCACTGATTAATTGTTCTCACTGTCAGGAAATTTCTACTACTAGGTGGCTTCTCTCCTTGGTTAGTTTCCATCCATTGTTTCTTGTCCTGCCTTCAGGTACTTTGGAGAATAGGTTGAAACCACACACACCCCTTCTATGTGGCAGCCCCTCAAATATTGGAAAACTGCTATCCTGTCACCCCCTAGTCCTTCTTTTCATTAGTCTAGACCCATGATGGCGAACCTATGGCACACGTGCCACAGGTGGCACACGTAGCCATATCGGTGGGCACATAAGCTCAGCTCAGGTGCACATGCGCACACCAGCCAGCTGATTTTCAGGCCTTCTGGGCTCACCAGAAGTTGGGAAACAGGCTGTTTCCTGCCTCCTGAGGGCCTCGGGAGGTGGTGGGGAAGGCCTGCTTTTCTCTCTCCCCAGGCTCCAGAGCCTTTCTAGGAGCTTGGGGAGGACAAAAACAGCCTCCCCTCCGCCCGGAGGCCTTCTGGAAGTTGGCAAACGGGCCGTTTCCGGCCTCCAGAGGGCCTCTGGCGGGTGAGGAAGGCCATTTTCACCCTCCCCAAGCTCCTAGAAAGGCTCTGGAGCCTGGGGAGAGAGAAAAACAGGCCTACTGGGCCCACCGGGTCATCGCGTGCCAGGAGCGGGGGGAAGCAAGGGGGGTCAGGGGTGAGGCGCATAGAATTATGGGTGTGGGCACTTGTGTGCGCTACCCGCCCTTCCCCCCCCCGCTCTTGGCACACGATGGCAAAAAGATTCGCCATCACTGGTCTAGACATTCCCAATTCCTGCAACCGTTCTTCATATGTTTTAGCCTCCAGACCCCCAATCATCTTCATTGCTCTTCTCTGCACTCTTTCCAGAGTCTCTACGTCTTTCTTATAATATGGTGACCAAAACTGGATGCACTATTCCAACGGTGGTCCTACTAAGGCTTTATAAAGTGGTACTAATGCTTTACACTCCTTCCACACCTCCTGCTGGAGGAAAAACCTAGCCATCCTCACCTCCTTTTTCAGTTCTCTGCTGAAGTCTTTTAAAAACATTTCTGATCACATGGCAAAGGCGTGTTTGTGCAGGGACATGTCGAAGGCCTGCTGGGGTGCTTTTCCTGCATTCCCACAGAATTATGACTTGGATTTGTACAGCTGAGTCTTTATTACTGGTCATAATTATTCTGGCTGAGATAGAACACGTAAAATGAGTTTTACAGTCCCCATAATGGCCCTTTCAAAGCCATCGGGGGAAACACAGCATATTTCTGATCCATCCTGGCCTCATTTAAATAGGGCCATTAAGTTTGTTAGGACCGCAAAGAGGGGGCCGTGTGAGACGCCCAGGCACTGCCGTGTAATAATTTCAGCAAAAGCAAATATTTTGAAAACGGAGCTCCCATTCCCATCCCCGGTGACTCTGCAGAGCAAATCTAATTGGAGAAGGACAAGCCACGCAAGAGGGGCATTCCCATTTCAGCAGTACATGAAACAGGATATGTTTTTATAGACTGAATGTAAATAAGTTTAGTTGGAAATAAATTGAGGACCTCAGATAAGGTGAAGAAAGTCTGCTGGCTGGCACTTAGAAGGGAATCTAGCTGCGAGGAGGGTTCAGAGGCATTGAAATGGCTGGACACAAATCTAGATATTACGTTTATCCATGGGGCAACCAGGGCAATCAACACCATCCACTCTTTTACATATCTGCAACACCTGTTTAGAAGGCACTGAGAGAAGAGAATATTTGCAGGCCAGGCTTGAACTGTGGAGTCTTTTTGTGCACTCTCATCTTTTCTTCCAGATGTTTCATGACTCAACTAGGGAACATTATCAGTGTTAGAAGGCAGTAGAGTTTGGGAGGAAGAGGAGGAGGAAGAGAACTGTGGGATTCTTGGTGGAAACCATAGACAAGATTCTTCCAGAATCCAACCTATGCTATTACCCTACTTTTTTTTTCTTCTGAATGATTTTTTTATGGCAAAATAAATATGGATTTGCACCATCGGTATCTCAACTGACATAGGACATACTCTATTTTCGAATTTGTTTCACTTTCACATGTTCATTAAAAAAACTTGTCCAGATTATATATTTGGACAGCAGTTTAATGCCAGCCTAAATTTGCACTTTCTTCAGGGCTATCTGATAGGCATTCAGCCAGTAAATATTTCACACCTGTCAGGACATCGTGACATTATTGGCAACCAATGCAAATCAGAACATTTGCATCTGATGAAGTCATGGTGCACATGGTTGGGAATGCATTGCAAAATCTTTGAGATGATTTACAACTGGCTTCTTAACCCACTAGTTCCGTTTCAATATCTGTATTGTGTATTGTGTGTGGTCATCTTTATTGAGATGTGAGGTTTATCCATAGACAACCTGAAACACACCCACACACCAAATCCCCAGAGTGCTTACCTGGTTGTTCTCAAGAAAGTGTGGTTAGTCTGGTGAGATTCTTGTGAATGGGCGATAGCAATAAGGATGCTTCTCTGATCAATTCACAGTATCATTCTGATGCCTTGTACCTGACAATTGTGATTCCCTGAATAAGCTAATGTGGCTGCATTTTCACATAATACCTAACCAATCATTATGATTTTATAAACATAGAGAACCACAGAAATGAGTTTGAAAGAGAATGTAACAGTTAGCAAAATATGAATTAGGACATTAACAAACTCTCCAGGGGTGGGTTCTACTTACTTTTACTACCGGTTTGTAGTGGGGCTGCGTGCGCGCGCTCTTCTGCGCGTGCGCAGAAGTGTTTTGATGACGATGGGGTCGGTGGGCGGAGCCTCCCAGCGGTTTTACTACCGGTTCTATAGAACCAGTGCGAACTGGGGGCAACACACCACTGAAACTCTCCCTCTTTCCCTCTCTCCCTCCCTCCCTCCATGTCTTCTGCACAAGATTGCTTGTGACATTATAGGAGAAGGTAGCATTACATATGTCAGCATGAACTTCTGAAGGAAACAATGGGATAGAAGTTGAACACATAAATAAATAGGAAGTAATTCATGGCAGTTTGCAGATTTATTTGGCAGGACAATTCTCCACCCGAAAGCAGAACAGTTTACAGTGTTCATTACTGTACCCTGTCAATGACATTTGTCTCTGCATATTAAATGTCAGGTTTTCCCATCCTGTTTGCTCTTTCTGCAATTCTTTAGTTTTTAAATCTCAGCCCTCTTTGAATGTTCTATAAATGGAAAGTTAGGGTCCAAATTGACTGACAAAGAATAGGTTATTTTATTTCTTTTGTTGTTAATTTTGATTTTTTAAAAAATGATTATACACCTAGTATTTTTATCTGGAGATGTGAAATGACATTTACTACATCTGATGGATGATTGCCTAACATGTATCTATAGTTACTAACCAATAGGAATATCGCTGACTGCAAATTTACATAACTAAAGGAAAAATCCATATTCCAATGCTAAGACTGGACATTTTAAAACAGGATAGTGTGTGAATAGGTTAGTCTTTTGATTTCATTCTTTCAGATGTGTATCATGGAGAAACGCGCTGTAAATTAGGATGGAATGACTAAGGAATGTTAAAGGTTATTTCTGTTTTCATAAACAAGCAATAAAGTAGAATAACTTTCTATTTTATAATTATTGAAGAAAACCGCTAAGCCATGGGACTATGCAATTACTGTTATTTAGCATGAAAAATAAGGAATAAAAATAGTTGAAATAGAAATGCTCTCATCTAATCCCTCTCTCTCCTCTCTTTCCCTCTCCCTCCCTCCATCTGGCTCAGCTCTGGCGAAGCAAGAAAGGCTTATGAAACCTGAATTGAACATCAATCGTGACTATATTATAGTGGAAGCTGGAGATTCGTTCAGCATAACTTGCAGGTAAAATACCTGGCATTCTTGGCATCCCAAACTAAGTGGGAATTTAGATTTCTAGGAGATGTTGTCCTGAAATATTACAGGAATTGGGTATAGTTAGTCTTGAGTAAAGAAGGACTAGGGATGACGTGATAGCAGTCTTCCAATATGTGAGGGGCTGCCACAAAGAAGAGGGAATCAACTTATTGTCCAAAGCACCAGAAGGCAGGACAAGAAGCAATGGATAGAAACTAATCAAGGAGAGAAGCAGCCTAGAACTAAGGAGAAATTTCCTGACAGTGAGATCAATTAACCAGTGAAATAACTTGCCTTCAGAAGTTGTGGGTACTCCATCATTGGAACCTTTTAAGAAAAGACTGGACAGCCACTTTTCTGAAATGGGATAGCATCTCCTGTTGTTGTTGTTTTTTAATTTGATTTATATGCCGCCCTTCTCCGGAGACTCAGGGCGGCTTACAATACGTTAAGCAATAGCCTTCATCCTTTTGTATATTTATACAAAGTCAGTTTATTGCCCCCACAAACTGGGTCCTCATTTCACCTACCTTAGAAAAGATGGAAGGCTGAGCCTGGTGAGATTCGAACTTACAGTAATTGCAGACAGCTGGTGTTAATCACAATGCTATCTATCTGCTGAGCCACCAGGCCCTTACCGTTTGAGCAGGGGGTTGCACTAGAAAACCTCCAAGGTCCCTTCTAACTCCTATTATTCTGTTATTCTGAAATACCTTCTAGGGCCTTAGCCTAAAAACCAGAGTTTTCCTAAACAACTTGAGCAGAGGGAAAAATAAATGTAGTTCCAGACCAACCTTCAAAAAATAGTCCATAAAGAATGTCTATGCAGGGTGGAAGATTTGCAGGAAGTGCTGAAACAGACTTTGGGATAAGATAGATACAACGTTGTGATAACCAGTTTGGTGTGGTGGTGAAGGCGTCATGCTAGAAACTGGAAACTGTGAGTTTTAGTCCCATCTTAGTCAAAAGTTGGCAGGGTGATCCTGGGCCAGTCATTTTCTCTCAGCCCTGGGAAGAAGGCAATGGCAAACCACTATTGAAAATCTGCCAAGAAAACTGCAGGGACTAGTCCAGGTGATTTACAATTACTTACAACTGGTCTTCATATTTATGATAGTCTCAGCATCCTCGTAGCCACAGGATCAAAATTTGATGACTTGGCAACCATCGTGTATTTTTAACATGATCACCATCTGCAACTCTCATGGGTGGCTTGTCAGTAAAATCAATGAAGGAAGCCAGGGTCACTTAGCAACTGCATAATTTATTTAACAGTTGCAGTGATCCACTTAATAACTGCGGGGAAAAGAGGTTGTAAAATCAGATGTGATTCACTTAACAACCACCTTGCTTAGCAAGAACATTCTAGTCCCATTTGTTGCCATAAGTCAAGAACTACCTGCATTTCTTTTCCTGCAGTGTCTTTCAGTATTTTATAGCAACATTGCCAGAAACTTCAAACAAGCCGACTTGTTGCAATATAATAGACAGTAATCATGATTTCTTTCTAAAGTTAATAGTGCAGGGGCGTCCAGGGTAGGGACAGTCAAAAAAGCCAGGATGGCGGTCAAGGTCCTACAATTAAAGACCGGCAATACATGTACAAACTGGGCCGGCCATAGCCAACTCGCCAGGGCCAACTTGTTGTGGGGCAACTCACTGTGGGACAAGAGCTACACTAATATTGAAGAAATGATGGAATAGTATCATTAAAAAAAGGATGCCAAAGGAGGAACAAAATGAAATATGAATGACAAAAGTTAAAGTAAGGTCTTAATTATTTTAAATAATTAAAATGAATTGTTGAATTGTCCTGTGGCCAAAGTGTCCCACAGCAAGTTGGCCGTGGCAAGTTGTCCCATTCTGTTTTGCATGGTGATAGCCACCATCCTGGCTTTTATGACACACACACACCAACACCATACAATGGCATGATTATCGCTGTGGTTATCTTTCCCAACAGCCCGTTGCATTTCAGAAAAGAAAGACAGCACTCGCACACTTTAATCCCCCAGAACCTTTGAACAAGTTAATTTATCTCCTGAAGCAGCTTCAGAAGTTGCTGACCTGTGACAGCCTTGCTGAAAGAAGACAAGATTGCAGGATTTAGTGGCAGCAAAATGGGTGGTTTACAGGATCTTCTTCAACATGAAAGAACATGATAGTGGGTAATTCAATTATGCAACTGGATGCCAAATAAATCCATTTTGCAATCAATGTGAGTCATAAGTGTTTCGTGAACTCTTTGTTGAAAATTCAGTGAAAGAGCAGCAGTAGGTAATATCCAGCCAATTGCTGAGAAGGAGAGAGAGGGGGGAGGCGGGGGGGAGGAGGAGAAGAAGGAGGAGGAGAATTTGGCATGATCAGGGCCAAGATAGAAAAAGTCTTCCTCTCAGGAATGGTATCTATTCTGAAATTTAAAGTATGAATTGTCCTTTTGCACTTGTATAGTCAGAACTAACACTTGGAAAACTTGTGATTAGAATTATAAAGTCAAAGGAGAATAGCCAGGAGAGACTAAAAATGGCTCCTAGCTGGTTAGCAGAATTGTTACTATTACCAATGTCCCTTGATGAACCACAGAAGAGGGATAAGGAGGAATGGAAGAACTAAAATATTCTCTAGGGAATGTTCAGATTTCATTTCCCCAAAGTGCTTCAAAGCATGCAGGTATGCAAGTAGGGTACCTGTGTTTTATTCCTGAAAGCAGTCATGTCTTTTCCAGGGACCAAATGACAGGAACAGAGGACAGGCAGATGAGCCAGGGAAAGATTCTAGAATCATACAAGGGGATAGCATTTAAATATTGGCCAAAACAAAGCAAAGGAACTGCTCTAAAGACAGGTACAACATTGATACTGTGAATTACTTTCTCCTAATGTTTTCCAAAAGGTTGCACAGCCTGCTTCCTTGCCTTATAAACTTTGTTTGATTCCTGGGGGCTCCGGGAAGAAGGGGTAACACTGAAACAATTCTCTGCACCAGGCAGTTTTATATCTGGGAGTATATGCTCTATTGTGGCCAATAAACCTCCACTGGGCATAGAAAACACATCACTGTGCTGTAAAGCAGGGGTGTCCAACCTTGGCAACTTTAAGACCTGTGGACTTCAACTCCCAGAAATCCACAGCCTGGGGAATTCTGAGAATTGAAGTCCACAGGTGTCAGGTATGCTTCCTTCAATATCCAGGAAAGAAGAACCCAACCTCAATAATTTTAAAGAGATTAGTACTTTTACTGAATATGAAATGATCGCAACCCAGGTAAAGCTGGAAGTGAGCAAAATGCGCGAAATAGCATCTAGTAAGCTTCTCCCCCCCCCCGTGTCCATTGACCATCATCTAATCCAAAGGTTTCCCAAAGGTCAGGTGGCATCACGTCTGGCAACGTCATTCATCAGGAATGTAGGGCAGTTGGTCAGCCGGCCCCTTTGGAGATTCACTTTCGTTTCTTGGAAAGACACCTCCTGCAATGGAAAAACACCTCCTGCAATCTTCCCCCCCTTCGCCCCCTTAACTGGTCCCTCCCCCCCGTTTCTTATGGCAGCTGAAGCAGGCAAAGCTGAGGCTGACAACAGGTTTTAAAGTTGCCAAAGTTGGACACCCCTGCTGGTCAAACTCAAACTGGTTTCACAAACTTTACTCCACTGCTCAATCAGATTTCCTTTAATGTGGAATTTCAACATATACCACCCTTGCTTTTTATTTTTATTAGATTTCACATCCCAACTTTATTATATACAATTCAAAGTGGCATACACAATTCTCCCTGATGTAGAACATACTGTAGAACATAGAGCTGGAAGGGACTTTGATAGTCTCCTAGACCAACCCCCTGTTCAAGCAGGAGACCCTATACCATTCCAGACAAATGGCTGTTCAATCTCTTCTTAAAAGCTTCTAGTGATGGAGCAACCACAACTTCTGAAGCAAGCCATTCTACTGGTTGATTGTTCTAACTGTTAGGAAATTTCTCCTTAGTACTAGGTTGCTTCTCTCCTTGATCAGTTTCCATCCATTGCTTCTTCTCCTGATTCTTTGGAAAATAGGTTAACCCCCTCTTCTTTATGGCAGTCTCTCAAATTTTGGAAGACTGCTAGCATATCACCCCTAGTCCTTCTTTTCACTAGACTAGACTTACCCAAATCCTGCAACAGTTCTTCATATGTCTTAGTGTCCAGCCCCCTATTCATCTTTGTTGCTCTTTTCTGCACTCTTTATGTGTATGCCACCTCTTCCTTTTTGTCCATCACTTCAACTCTGTGAGGTAGGTTGGGCTGAAAGAGAGGGGAGGACTGGCCCAAGGTCACCCAGCCAATTTCTGCATGGAGGTCTACAACTTATGGTACCTGATTCTTAGTCTTCACCAAACTAGGTTTCCATATTATGTCCTTCTTTATTCATGTCAGAAGCACCTACACATTATAGATATATAACATTCAACACTGGGCAAATAAAATAGGTATAACATAAGTCGTAGAAAATGTAGCACATGTAAAAGCGTGTAGAATAAATAGGATTAAAACTAAATGACATTTGCCCAGTATTGGGCCATGGTTTCTTTCCCAGCATGAGGTCTTCCTCTGTGCATGTTGAAGGACACAGTATATACCATAGCATGTGTGAGATGGGTTCTTCTTCTTCTTCTTGGAGTTATTTTCCATAGGGAAGTCCCATTTTCTTAGATTGTCCTTTGATCTTCCCACCCTGGAGTATACTGTCCTTAATGATTTCCACATAGGCCAAGGTTGTTCTTCACCAGGCGGCAAACTGCCATGTGGTTGTGCCCAGTTGCCTGGCAGCATCTTATGTTATGCCTGAAACTGATGGAATGGTACTTTCTCTTGCCAGGGGCTCACATGGCTTGACATGGCAAGCTGGAGATGAACAGATCACCCACAGCAAGCGGTGGCATATTCACAAGCAGAAATGTTCAGACAAGCCATGGCATTCCTGCAGCACAATTGGAGTTAACCGAGCTGTGGCCAACGACACCGGCTATTTCACCTGCTTTTATGACCACCTCCCGTTCGCAGAGGAACTGAGAGCCAAGTTATATGTCTTCATTAAAGGTAATGTTGATTGATTCATTGATTCTGGTAGTATAGGAAAGATAAGAAGGAGGCGGAGGAAAAGATGAATTGGAGCCAAGATGATTTGGAGAAATTTCCTGACAGGGAGAACAATTAATTATTGGAATGGCTTGCCTCCAGAAGTTGTGGATGCTCCATCACTGGAGGTTTTGGAGGGCTGTTTATCCAGAATGGTATAGAGTTTCCTGTTTGAGCAGGGGGTTGGACTAGAAGATCTCCAAAGTCACCTACAACTCTGTTATTCTGTATTCTATAATCCAGATCTAAATTTGGGTGGCAATGTCATGGATAAAACAACTTCCATAGGGCTCTTGTTGTTGGCTTTATAGTCAAGACTTTCTGTCACTTATATATTGGTGGTGCTGACATGTCTCTAGAAGGCCTCCAAAGTCCCTTCCAATCCATGAAAAAAAATCAGAAGGGGTATGGAGGTTGGAGTGATGTGTTATCACAAGGTACTTATGGAGACCACACTGAGGATCAAAGCAGATATCGAATTCCAATCAATCCTATCAATAGCATAGTCAAGGACAGAGACATCTGGGTGAAAAAAAATGAATATGGCAGCTGCATAGAAGTCCCAGGTCTTTTTGATATGCATCTCATGTAAAGAAGAGATCAGGGCTTCACTTAGACCATCGTCACTTGAATGTTTGTATCCCCCCATCCCCACCACCCCCCCATGGCCTTGGTCAATGGCAAAGGTTGTGAAAGTTGAAATCTGAAGTATCAGAGCTCCACCCCACAAAGAACAAACAACCTCTCTCTAATACTAGCACCCCCACTTAGACTTATAAACTGCTTCACTGTGCTTTACAGCCCTTTCTAAATAGTGTACAGAGTCAACATATTGCCCCTAACAATCTGGGTCCTCATTTTACCAACCTCAGAAGGATGGAAGGCTGAGTCAACCTTCAGCCGGTCAGGATCAAACTCCTGGCATTGGGCAGAGTCAGCTGCAATCCTGCATCCTAGTCACTACACCACCGTGGCTCTTTAGGAATACCAACACGCATTGAGGAGCTCAGTAGGGAACGTATCATGGGCTAGACTCAGATAAGTAGCTTCAATTGTAAATGCTGTGAAAGTGACATTGATCAGCAACTGCAGGATCTAAGGCTCAAGTCATGCTTATATGACTACTCCAGGATTTACACTCTACATTCTTTTCTCCTGCCCTGACTGGGTAAACTCAGCCATGGTTGCTGAGAACATCTATCGGGTGGGGGGTGGGGGGGTGTTATGTTGTGTTTGATAATATTCTTGTCCTATCTCAACCTCTATATGTCCAACTTTGTTGGGGTCAGCCCACATACCCGGCATCTGCAACAGTGTTTCTCAACCTTGGCAACTTGAAAATCTGTGGACATCAATGCTCAGAATTGATGTGAACTTGTCACACTCTGGACAGAAGGACCACTGGTTTGAAAGAGTGGTCAAAGAGGCCATTTATGTTAACATTGAGCAGCCCTCTCACAACAGAAGAGGAGGGATACGACATTATCTACCTCTAGTCTACAACACAGTCCTTTCAGATATCCCAAGAAGGTTCCACACCCATTTCCATTAGGACAGTGATCAGGTGACACCGAGGGTACATCTAAACTTCCAAGTGGCCTTGATGACTCTCAGAGAGATAATGACCAGATGATTGCAAAGAATATAAATCCTTCCATTTCCCCACCATTCAGTCAGAACCGAAGAAGCTTCTTGGATGAGAAATGAAATGTTTTCAAGGAAAAAAGCCAAGACAGTCCAGTTTGCCTTTTGAAAAGCACCTTTAGTTTGCTGATTATGTTGGACACCTCACTAATGTGGTCAGGATGAAAGCACAGCAGCAAACAGGAAAGGCTGAGTTATGGAGAACAGTAGACCTAAGGAACGAAGAATTGGAACCAAATTCCCTGGCAGTTGTTGATCAATCCAATTAGTTCTGGTGGCATCTGAAGAATAAAGCTGCTCTGATCTTATTATGTAAGTACTTTTTCAGTGCTCATAAATACCTTGTCTTTGGATTTAGGGGATAACATTAAAAGACAAAACAACATACGCAATCCTTCCAAACCTGGCATGCAAAATTACAGCAATTGTAATTGTTCCTTTTTATACCAGGGACTCCACTCAACCAGCCATTTTTATGTGACCATCTAGTCAGAGGCTAGAAGGAAAGGAGCTCTTGAAACAATCTTGAATTCTTAAAAATATTTCGCTTGTCCTGGTAAAGTGACCACTGCTTTTTAAAAACCACAACAGCAGCCTTTGGATAGTTAAAGAACAAGCAGAAGAGAATCTCTGGTTTTTAATACATGTCTGGGTACAATCTTTCCTCTAGTTAAGCTTGGAAATAGAAATCTGAGGTAGACAGTTCTACAAAACATCCTGCATGTGGTTCAGCCTTATACTCCAACTGTGAGTCAGGTCTCAGAGAGATGAGATCCCATTGAAGATGCAACCACCAAGAAGTTCTGATTGGACTCCTAGATCAGTGATGAGGCACTAATAACTCCATGTTCCTAAGTCCTGGTCTGTAAACTCTAACTTCATTTTTCTCAAGCTATGTCTACCTAGCCCATAAGAGTGCTGATGCTATTAGATTGAAAGCTAAAGAGCAGGGAGGCAATGAAGCAGGAAGTTACATGGAGAGATGCCATTAAAGGACGGCCTCCTCAGGAGTAGCCATTACTCAAAATTGGGCTCCAGAAATTGGAGCTGCAGTTTTGGAATAAAGTCTAGGCAGGTCCAGTGACTCAACAGTTTTTAGAGCACTCCTGTGATAGTCCAACTCAGTTTATTGATGGCAAGCCATATCTATACTCTTATTTATAGTCAAAGAGCAAAGAAACCAAGTGAAGTCCATGAATCAAATAGAGGAGTGGGGGTGGAGGAGGAGGAGGAATTCAGATGCAGGGCTTCCTAGTGGCAACTACTGGTACATTTGAACAGAATTTACCAGCATTTAATGGATTTGTCAATAGATCAATTCTCTAATAAGTTTTTTCCTCCTTGGTTTGAGTATCAGGAGTTTGGCACTTCTGTCTGCTCATCTCTCTTCGTTTTTCTGCCTGAATTTAGTTGATTTCAACAGCCAGCATACTTTTTTAAAAAAATGTCACTTGGATTTTTGAATTAACATTTTCTTTTTTTAGTTTTTCTTTGGAAGGCAAACCAAGCATTGCTCTCTTTTCCCCTGATGGTCAGGTGAACAGATGGGATAGTAAGAGTGAAGCTGGTAAAGTTGGGAGGGCTGTTTTGAGGAGGGTTCCTCTTCCTGTTCTTCATTTAGCCTACAAAAGTCATACTAAATATATTTAAAATAAATTTAAGGGGCATGTTTATAAAAACTAAGGGTTTTATGGGGCTCTGGAGTCTACAAATCCAGAGGAACCCAAACAAGTCTTGGGGTCGCCAGTCCCTGTTTTGAACCAATATTGCCTTGAGTAAATCCAACTTTCTTCAGTCTGCGACCCTACTGAAGGGTTAAACTGTGCCTTCTACCATACCCAATTGGTATGATGGCTGACTAGGGATAATGGAAGTTGTAGTCCAGCCTGTCTATACAGCAGGAAATTCCAGATTTATAGGCTAGCCTGGGAAATCAAAACTGTCCAGAAGCCAATTTCTTCTGAAAACTACATGGCCCTGCCTTTGACATCCTCAGGAGTCAACTTCTTCAACTTCATCTAGAGGAAAGCATCAATTATAGCTATTTAACTGGGGAGGGGGAGCACTTCCAATTCAAAGTCCATCAGATCAGGAGGCAGAAACAGCACCCAGTTCCTGAATCTAAGCATGCTCTGTCCCCTATGATAATCTGCAAAGGACAGCCATGCAAACCCAAGAAAGGGCTGGACAGCTTGAATATGAATAGAATAGAGCTGGAAGGGACCTTGGAGGTCTTCTAGTCCACCTCTGCTCAAGCAGGAGGCCCTAAACCATTTCAGACAAGAGACTGTCCAGTCTCTTCTTAAAAAGCTCCAGTGATGAAGCACCCATAACTTCTAGTAGCAACCTGTTCTACCGGTTAATTGTCCTCACTGTTTGGAAGTTTCTCCTTAATTCCAGGCTGCTTCTCTCCTTAATTAATTTCCATCCATCACTGTTTCTTGTCCTGCCATCTGGTGCTTTGGAGAATAATTTGCCCCCTCTTCTTTGTGGCAGCCCCTCAAATATTGGAATACTGCTATCATGTTACCCCTAATTCTTCTTTTCTTTAGATTAGCGAAACCCAAATCCTGCAACCATTCTTGATATGTTTTAGTCTCCAGGCCTTTGATCAGTTGCTCTTTTACGTTATTAAGAGTATTTACAGACTGCTCCAATCCATTGAACAGTGAACAACAAAGTGAGAATAACAGCAAGAGAAGAATAGCATACAATCAAAACCACATTCTGGTAACCCCAGATGCGGACAGATGCTACCTTAAATGCTACAGATCCCTTACTGGAATCTGAAAAGATAACGGTAAAAGAGTTTCTGCGGATTTTACTCTGCTAGTTGATGCTAACCTTTGTATCCGAAGCCCTGATGAATTCCCTTGTTGAAATATTATCCACCTGATGATCTTGCCGGTCATTTCCTGGGTATCAAACACTGCGCAGCAACAGATCGAAAAGTCTACAGGAGTCACCGCAACCTGGAGACAGGCCATTCAGCACCCTTAGCTTGGAGATTGCCAAGGCAGGGTGTGATATTGGAGCTGTGAAGACAAGCTGCTTCCTTCCCCTTCTAGCCTCCTTCAAGCCACACAAAGCTCCTTCATGGAAAGGAAACCACAGCAAGCCCTTCGGCACGTCCCAGGCAGGGTTGGGTGGGCACTGTGGAATGTTAGTGGCTTATCAGCTGTCAGGAAAGTCCAAGGAGATGGAGATCGGCTTCTTTTCTGTAGCCTTTGCAGACAGACTGTCTGGCTCAGCAGGTCAAGGGGAAGGCAGGCAGGGTGGAGGTCTTTCCTTTAAAACCCAGCATGGGTCAAGAAGGC